AAGCCTGCCAATATTACCTTGTTGTCATCTTAATCCACTATGGAAACGCATTAATGAGTAACACCAAGTCAGCCTCCCCCAAGCACCACTTGGGCTAAAGCACAGGGTAGTTGCACAAGTCATGTCTGCTTGTTGACAAGCAGCATTCTCTAGCTGCCTTTGATGATCGAGCCAATATTTCTGACATCATTTCTTGACTCGAGACTACAGATGCCCCAACATGATTTCCTTCCCAGAGTGGAAAGAAGACTGGGATGGCAGATGGCCAGCCGGGATTCCCAAAATGCCTGATGCTGTCCTGTGGCTGCAAAAATGCAGGCACGCTAGCCAGAACAGACTTTCAAAAGCTATTTCTACAAATGTACTACCAAGCCTTTTGGCAACCTTTGGAGTACAAGGTCTTTCATTCATTCCTTCTATAGATAAATTAAAAAAATATGAGTATAGAATTTGGAAGTTCCTGGAAGTCCCTGAGTTAAACACATAGCCACCCCCCTACTGAGCAAGAGGCTCAAGAGAGGCATATTTCTGCGGGCTTTTCCAGTGTGGAAGGTAAATTCACCAAAGGCCCTACACTGTGCAGAAAGAGGGGCTCTGCTCATATGCCTGTATCATTTAAGAGATGATCCTAGTATGGTAAAGGGTAGGAAAGGCCTTTCCATTAAGTCACTAGTGACTTTAAAACCGAGTTTTGTTTTGCAAACACCATTATCTCTCCTTCCTCCTTCTCCCTGCTTCCCAAATCCTGTCTCCCCTGTGATTCATACAGAGCTACAGCTCCCTAAGCTTTCACCTGTCTCAGTGCAGGGTGTTACTTGCATCAAAACAGATTTGCAACCCCATACACACCAGAGGAAGATGGAGACTAAGGGGAAGGGAAGGCAGGAGAAACATATCACAAGGGTTTGAAACAACAGCAAGAAGAATGAGGTGAAACCCCACCTGAAAAGGGTTCCTTCACTTAAATCACTTGCGGCTCAGTGCCTTCCGTGTAGACAGCAAGCTGCTGGAGGGTAGGAACCACAGCTGCTGCCTCCTTGAATCTATCCCCACAACCAGGCCCATATTCTTAGCCCTGTGCTTTATTTACTACTTTCCATGCAGTAAGAGCTAAAGAAAGTGTAATAGTTTGAGTGAAACAAATAAATGTCTCTTGTGACACACAAGTGGTCATTCCTGAGTATCCTGATTGCTTGTTAAAAACATACATTTCCCCAAACTGGTGAATCCAATTGACAGAGAGGAGCCTGTGAATCTGTACTTTCACTAGCATGACAGCTGATTCCTAGCAGTTTGAGAAATGCTGGGAGAACTACCCTCTGTAGTCTGAACAACCAGGGGCAAATTCCAGTTTGGGAACTTCTTGGCTGTCTAACTCAGAGCATCGTTGATTGGCTGCCTCTGCATGCTCCCCACTGGGGATTGACCCTGCAACCTGGGCATGTGCCCTGACCGGGAATCGAACCGTGACCTCCTGGTTCATAGGTCGACCACTGAGTCACGCTGGCCGGGCTTGGCTAACTGGAATCTCAGTTTTCTCATCTGCAAAATGAGAATAATGATGTCTATTTTGTAACATCATTAAAAAGATTTTAAAAGCAATTTCAAGAGGATAACAAAGGTCCTGATGTGTAGTGGGTTTTTTCTAAAGGTCCGTTCCCCTTTATCCAGAAAACACTAGGGAACTACTGAAAGCTTCTGAGCAGAGCATGTCCAGATTGTTGCCTTACCTTCAAGTCCCTCTGGGACACCCAGGCAAATGGCTGCCTAGCCTATTCCACAACACCTCCAGTGACAAAAGATCAAACTTACTATCTCTGGAAGCAGACCATTCATTGGCAAACAACTTTAATCATTAGCAATTTCTTCCTCTTGTTGAGCTGAGATCTGCCTTGGGTGACAGAACAAATTTAATTCCTTTTCCACATGATAGGCTGATGCAATTAACTTAGATAAGGTAAGTGAGGAGTAGTGGGGTGGGGGGTCCATTTTGAACACCCTGCACTGGGAGGGCCAGTTCAGGCCTATGTCCAGCAAGTAGTTGCTATGCATGTCTGCAGTTCAGTAAAGAGATCCGGGGCATCACTTACACAATGACATGATTTGAAGTTGTGAAATACTTTGTAATACTTTAAGTAATAAAACAAAATTTTTTAAAAAAAGAAAGTAAATGACATTGCCATTTTGGGGCAGAGGTAATGAACAGGATTGAGGAATGCTCAGCGAGGTAGGAAGAGAGCCTTTAAAGAAAAAAAACAGCCCTAACCGGTTTGGCTCAGTGGCTAGAGCGTCGGCCTGCAGACTCAAGGGTCCCAGGTTTGATTCCAGTCAAGGGCATGTACCTTGGTTGTGGGCACATACCTAGTAGGGAGTGTGCAGGAGGCAGCTGATCGATGTTTCTCCTCATCAATGTTTCTCACTCTCTATCCCTCTCCCTTCCTCTCTGTAAAAAAATCAATAAAATATATTAAAAAAAGAAAAAAAAAAACAAGTAAGCCATGGAAACAAATGTGGTGAAGAAGAAGAAGGCAGAGGATCAGTAAACCAGTCATTGAATTTGACGACTAAGAGGTCACCACTGCTTCCTGGCAGACCTGGGCATCTGCTCCGCTGGAGCTGCTGGGATCACAACACCAAACTGAAAAGCAGATGCACACTTCCCCTCCTACTGAAAGAGAGGTAATTTGGAGAAATATCAGCAGCAAGGACAGATGACTCTAACACTTCCCAACCTGCATGGTAAGACGGGTTTCTCCAAATAAGGCTTTCATGCTCCCTCCTATCTACTGGAGAAACTGCCTAGTAAGTCTGTCCTGGAGATTAATCACAGAGAAGAATCCTATTTTTCTTTTTAATTCTGCACTTGCTCAACTTCCTGAAACACTTTTTTTTTTTTACATAATACTACCAACCTCTCCAGGAACTAGTGTTTCCTAGCACAGAATTGGGCAAATAAATGTGGGAAACAGAAGAAGAGAGACAAGATGAGAGTTTAAGGGACAACTGCTATCAAGGGAATTTTTTTCTTTTCTTTTAAGAATGGATGAAAGCTGAATATGTTTACATGTGGAAGAAAGGGAACCAAGTGTAGAGTGAAAGGCTCAAAACAAGCACAAAAGGAAATAGAGCAAGCCTGGCTCCAGGAGAGGGGTTAGCTTAGCGAAGGACCTCAGGTCACTGCTTCAGCCAGGAAATATTATTTTTTAATTAAGTCTAGTGATCACAAATGTTCACTATCCTAAACCATATTTGCTTTGCTCAGATGATACAATGTTATCAAGATAAGGTTAAGAACAGATTATGTAAACTGGATAAACTGCTTAGCTAGAACCAGAGTGCATCTCCACCCTCCTCCCCAGAGTTTTCCTGGCTGGGGCCAGAGAAGAGGGCTCCAGGTCTTCCAGGTTGGGAGCTAATGCCCCACTGCTCCTGCTCAGGCAGGGCGAGCTCTAGCACAAGATAGACAGAGAGGGAAAATCTAAAAATAAAGCTCTCTGAAAAAACTGTCTTGCCTAAAGAGTAGCTTCCCACGCACTCTGTAGTGCCACATCTGTGGGGGCTGAAAGCACAGAACGGAACAATCCTGACCAAGTCACGTAAGTACTACCCTTTAGCAGGGGGCAGGAGGGGGGACCACAGTGCATTGCTTATCCTCCCCATCAGTGCCCCAGTGTCAGGAGACTGAAAAGATCACTGTGACTACTCCAGCCTTCCTGCTCTCCTCCTTTCTCAGCGGGAGGTGAGCACAGCACATGTGAAGAAAGCTGCTCCACAAGGAGTGGAATTAAGTGCTTATTTTAGAAAAGAACCATGAAGGGGTTAGTGGGCTTCAGGCTCAAAGTGGGGCTCCCTCTGCCCCACTCCTAGCAGTAGGGTCACAGATAAATGACCAACTGAAGAAAAAAAAAATCAACTACTCTGAAAAGAGCTGCAATTAGCTTTTCTGTCAGTTGGCTATCTTCATTTCCAACCCCAAGCACAGAACAGCTGTCATGTTGCTGGGCAACTAGCATATGCAACCTCACCTCCTAACCTCCCAGCTGGTATCAGAGGCCACTAGAAAAAGTTCAACCCAAGAGGTTTATACAACCCCATATGTAAGTATTAAACACCCAGGGAGGGAGGAAGGAGGCAGCTGGCTCAGGGGAGTAATCCCACCACCTCTTTCTCTAAGGAGTTTAACCTTGGAGAGATACAACATATTTGCACCAACTATTGGAGTTTTGCCAAGAAGCCCAGGCAGGAAGAAGGAAATTAATTCTACCAGGAGGCCATAGTGTTCATTTAGCAGTCCAACTCCCCAGGAGGTTTGTACTTTGACCTGACAAAGTATGACAATATGCCTTGAGGGTCAGAAGCTCAACCTTGGACAATATCTTGGAATAATTTTCAGCAGCAATACACACAAAGCTGCACATCCACCCGCCCTTCCTGGGGAATGCACACCATCCTGCCCCATGTCCCATGACTCAGATACAGCAGACCAGTGCAGCAGGGAGCAAGCAAACACAATTTAAAAAAAAGAGAAAAAGAATGCAACAACCTGTCAGTTCCTTGGTCTCTTAAAAGAGACCCTGGACCAGAACACAGTGGTAGTTGATACGCTCAGATATAAAGCCTGGGGTGTATTATGCACATGTGAAAGGGAGAAGGGATGCAAAGTTTCCCCCTCAAATCACAAATTGTAAGCAAAATACTTTGAATATACCAGTGCTATTTGAATGCTGACTAGCAACAATCACCCAATAGCCCTTTCTGATTGGAGCACACTAAAAAGTTCCCATACTGAGTCATTCATGAACAAAAAAGAAGAAGCCAAGCCAGCTCCTGACCAGGAGGAGATAGTACTGGCCAGAAAGTACACAATCTGAGCACAGAGTTGGAAGTGTTGTTGTAGTGCTGGGAGTACACACTCCCTACCCCACTAGGTAAACAAGGGCTGGGTTGGACCAGACTCCCCTTGTGCAGCACAAGGCCTATGGCTTGGAAGTGGGACTCACCTGACATACAAGGACCTCTTCTCACTTGTCCGGAGGGACCCAGACCCAGAGCTCATGCTGCTGTTCATCATTTGTTCTCGCAAGTCATGTATCTTCGATTCAAAGCGACTGTACTCTGTCAGGAAGACAAGGAAAAGAATGAAGCCAAGGAGAGGCACTGAACCTGCACGCCTGTGGCCCGAGCCAGAGGACACTTGGCTTCATGCAGCCAGAGCCAGCCCAGTCAATCTTTGCCTGGATAGGCAGAGTCCCTCCTCCAGGCACAAAAAGGCAGACTTCCCTCCACCCTACACACTCATAGAAGGAAAGAACACACCTGAAAAAGGAGTAACATTTTGATGTATCAAATGGAAAAGGCTTTTATCTGCCTTGAAATCCTTAAAAGAAAACTGGAAGGAGGTTCCAGTGTGGCTTTCATAAATCTTTAGAGCAGGCGCTAAGGCCCAAGGAGAGCAGATGGGAAAGAATTTCCCAAAAAGAGGACTGCAGGGAACAGATGGCCATGAGAGCAGGGTGGAGGGGCTGGAAAGGACCCGAGGCCATTAAATTATTGTTAGGCAAGGAAGCCGATTTGTTTCTAGGTGTCTTTTTTGAGGGGGAATACTGGAACCCTGTGCCAAAGTAAAAACAAACAAACCTCACAATCAGATAAGGAGATCACAAAGCTCCCCTGAGTTATCTCCATTTTAACAAACAGGGTCTTTGGCCTCAGTATCAATTAAACATTAAAACATTAAAACAAATTCTCTAGTTATTTCCCATTTAACAAACAGGGGCTTTGGCTTCAGTATCAATTAAACATTAAAACTAAATTCACTCAATCCTAGAAGTCTGCTAATACCTCCCTCCTCCAAAATCACCTAGTCAGTAGGATCATAAATACAGGCCCAGCTTGGAGGCCTGCTGACACCATCTTAACCACCTGAACCACCTTATCACTCTGTGAAAGTAACTATAGGTTTACACCAAATTTAAGAAAACCTGATTAGGAAAACTATAGCCATTATAACTTTATTATAAAAGGCTTTTTTATAGGACTGCCTTACTGTGACACTGTCCTAATACATTTAAATCATGATACTCATTACACACACACAATTCCACAACATTTTTCAAGTCTTTAATTGCTACATGAAATGGATATATCTAAAGCACAGGCTGTGGAAATGGTAGAAAACAGGCATGCTTCATTATGACCAGCTGAATTTAAAAGAAGTCAAAATTTATTCTAGGGATTGAAGGTGGGGAATTGCTCTAAAACATAAACACATTTCCGGGGGGTGGGAGGGGAAATTCCACAAAAGCATTTTCATGCACCATGGAGGGCTGGCAAGAAGCATCCCCATGTAGTCTTTGTGACTGTACCAGCAGAAAATAAAACACCTGTTCCAACACCTGACACCCCACTTCCCTCAGCAAAGCAACCTGACCTTCAGCTAGGTATAAAGCAGTGGTTCTCAACCTTCCTAATGCCGCAACCCTTTAATACAGTTCCTCATGTTGTGGTGACCCCCAACCATAAAATTATTTTCGTTGTTACTTCATAACTGTAATTTTGCTATTGTTATGAATCGTAATGTAAATATCTGATACGCAGGATGTATTTTCATTGTTACAAATTGAACATAATTAAAGCATAGTGATTAATCACAAAAACAATATGTAATTATATATGTGTTTTCCGATGGTCTTAGGCGACCCCTGTGAAAGGGTCGTTCGACCCCAAAGGGGTCATGACCCACAGGTTGAGAACTGCTGGTATAAAGGGAAATGTTAAAAAGCCTAAAGGGGAGGGAATGGGGTTTTAACTCTCAAAGTAATCTCTTCTCAACAGTTTCTTTTTGTTCACACTGATACCAATGAAGCCAACTGCTTAGGTTCATGTGCTTTCATTCATCATGCACTGGTGTTATAGTGATTTGTCCTCATTACCTACTCCGGTCCCTGAAATCCTACAGGAAGTAGTTAAATCACTGACTCACCCATTAAATGCTGTGTGTGGGGGAGAGAAACATCAGCAGGACAATGTCCCTGTTCTGAGGGTTACCTGGTAACACATTAATTTCAATGAGGCATCCCAATCTAAAGGTAGAGGGTGGTGACTGATCTGTCATAGAAGCCCTGGACTGCCCAAGAGCGCAGCAGCAGGACTGTATACCTCTAGAGCCGCCTGAGCACTGGCCCCATCCCACGGTTTGGCCCTCCATCCTGGCCCTCTCTAGTTGGCTCCTTTCTGGCTGAGCTTCTCACTGATGGTCTAAGAGGAGAACCGGGTGAGACAAAGAGATTTCTGACAAGGCAGCCCTTTCTTGAGGAAGATAAGTAAAAGGCAGAAATATGCCTTGAACCCAGAAAAAAATACACCAAACCTATCCTTAAGCCGTTTTCCCTCTCTCACAACTTGTTTATATATTCCCTTCTTTGGAATTGACTTGCCTGCTGAACTCCAACTTAGCAGCAGGTCATGGCAGTTGCTTAGTAACTACATTACTTAAAAAATCCTTTAAAAAAAAGCAACAACCACCAAACCACCATTTCCTCGAAGCTCCTACTCCAAGGTTGAAAATACTGGGCCAGAGGGCCCACTTAAAATAGACTACAGAAAGAGAACAAGGCTATTGCTTTAAGGAATCCACTTTCTGTTTTCTACTTGCTACTAAGCTTTCAAGTCTATTAAATTGTGTTTTATTCATTTTTTCCTATTCAGGTGATCCCCTTGAGTTTCAGATGGTCTCAGCTTTTATTTGTAGAGTTATCTAACGTCTAGTAGGCACAGAGTAGCCTCTGAATAAATGATTGTTGGGTAAATGAGCAAATTAGAAAACTGCCCAAGTCGACACTTCTGTTCTCAAACTAATAAACCTAATGGTTTATTTAACTGATGGCTGCCAGCTTCACTGAGGGCTTGGAAAGGTAGTTAAGAAGTATTCCCATTTACTTCCTTACCAGGGTTAACTGTTGGGAGCAATTGGGATGTTTTCTAAACATCCTTCTGAGATGTTAATAACCCACAGTGGGCATCTGATTAAGAGACTTTGTTTATAATAAAGGGAAAAAAACAATTCTAACATAAAAAACTGTTTAAAATAGTCTTAAGATAGATAGTACCTCATCTTAATATTTAGAGCAGGGGTCCTCAAACTACGGCCCACGGGCCACATGCAAATACAAATACTGTATTTGTTCCTGTTTTGTTTTTTTACTTCAAAATAAGATATGTGCAGTGTGCATAGGAATTTGTTCACAGTTTTTTTTAAACTATAGTCTGGCCCTCCAACGGTCTGAGGGACAGTGAACTGGCCCCCTGTTTAAAAAGTTTGAGGACCCCTGATTTAGAGGCACCATTTCCAAGAACAGAAGCTTCACTTAAAAATTATCTGAGTTTCACCTGGCCAGTGTGGCTCAGTGGCTGAGTGTCAACCCATGAACCAGGAGGTCAAGGTTTGACTCCCAGTCAGGGCACGTGCCTGGGTTGCTGGCTCCATTCCCAGCAGGGGGCATGTGGGAGGCAGCCGATGGAAGATTCTCTCTCATCATGGATGTTTCTATCTCTCTCTCCCTCTCCCTTCCTCTTTGAAATCAATAACAGCATATTAAAAAAAAATCATTTGAATTCAGCCTGGCCAGGTGGCTCAGCTGGTTGGAGCTGGGTCCAGTACACCAAAAAGGTTGCAGTTTGATTCCTTGGTCAGGGCACATGCCTGGGTTGTGGGTTGGATCCACAGTCAGGACGCATATGGGAGGCAACTGATCAATGTTTCTCTTACATTGATCTCTCTCTCCCTCTCTCCCCCCTCCCTCCCTCCTTCCCCCTCCCCCTCCCTTTCTTTTTTTTAAAAATTCCAAATCTTTATTTTCTATCATTTTTTTCTTTCTCTCCAGACCATGTAGGTTTAATTATTCTTTTTATATATATATTTTAATTTTTTTATTATTATTATTAGTTAAGGTATTACAAATGTGTCCTCATCCCCCCCATTAACCCCCAACCTCCCCCCCCCAACCCCGCACACTCACGATCCCATCCCCCTGTTGTCCATGTCCATTGGTTTGGCTTATATACATGTATACAAGTCCTTCGGTTGATCTCTTCCCCTTACCCCCGCCCTCCCCTACTTTCCTTCTGGGGATTGATAGCCTGATCGCTGTTTCTCAGTCTTTGGGTCTGTCCCTTTTCATCAGTCTATGTTGTTCTCTATAATCCACAAATGAGTGAGATCATGTGGTATTTATCTTTCTCTGACTGGCTTATTTCACTTAGCATAATGCTCTCCATTTCCATCCACGCTGTTGTAAAAGGCAAGAGTTCCTTTTTTTTTTTTTACTGCAGCATAGTATTCCATTGTGTAGATGTATCACAGTTTCCTAATCCACTCATCTGCTGATGGGCACTTAGGCTGTTTCCAAATCTTAGCTATGGTGAATTACAACCAAACCAGCAATGCAAGAGATAAAGAAGGCCCCTCCCTTTCCCTCTCTCCCTCTTCCTCTCCCTTTTCCTTCTTACCTTCCTTTCTTCCACTCTCTCTAAAAATCAATGGAAAACATATCCTCAGGTGAGGATTTTAAAAAATCATCTGAATTCTAAGGCCTCACAATTTGCCAAGGTGTGAAAGTCACTGCCAAGGAAGCCTACCAGACCAGCCTCAACTCAAAGGGCCCACTTCAAATATGGTACTTTAAAACAATACTTATTACTAAAATCTCGACTACTTAACTGTGTTTTATTCATTTTTCCCATTCAGATGAACCCAACCATTTGTGACCCACAAAGATGTCCATGGTGAATCATCGCATCCCTCATCCCCTTTGCTTATCACAGAGAATAATGAGAGGGAGGGGGCACAATTAGTGGTCATTTCTCCAAACACAGGGTTTCTCACTGACCAACTGGGGTGCCTCTTGGACTCTACCACAGACACTGACTCAAAACTTACTGAGCAGGCTTAGGAATCTGCATTTTTACCAAGCATCAATAGTTATTAAATATGGTGATTCTGATGCCCAATAAAGCTTGAAACTGCTGGTCTTGGCTTACAAAATTGAGTTTTGTTTTATTCAGAGAAAAGATAAGTACATTGTGTCTCAAAAGGTAGGACAAGAGGGTTGCCCTAC